AAGCCCACAGAGCCCTTATGTAAACCAGACAGAATCATCCAAGGTCAATGCAGCATTTGTGTGAATCTACCTGACCACGAACAGACATCCCCCTCTTATCATTAGAAAGGTCTGTGACACTGAAGAATGTCCGATTCTGATTGGTCAAAACATTATAAAAATCTGGTCTCAACCTCAATTCGATACCTAAAACATAACATGCCTAATTCACACAAAAACGTGGTGTTGGGACATCGATCTATTGGTAGTCTACACAACTCTATAATGCCTGTCGATAAACCATATTATCATATAATAGGTTCGTTTCTCGCAGGATAAAGCCAACGGATAAAAATGGTATCCTTTGAGGTCATATATGGATACAGAAAGTGTGAAAGGTCAGGGTCGTTTCTCGCAGGATGAAGCCAACGGATAAAAACGGTATCCTTTGAGGTCATATATGGATAAAGAAGGTGTGAAAGGCTAGGTAGGTACTACTTTCAGTTTTTTCAAACAAACATGGTGTTGCCCTTGTCCGTCATCGGTAATCGGTAATGTTTGTGAGCGATGAGAACAGGTTTTGCGAAGACTGGATTCAAGAATGACATGATATGATATGGAGGTTATCACTCTTGTGTGTTTATGTAGGAATACACACTACTCCTAGTACATTATACTTACCACCCCAAGACACATTCGCGTGATATGCTCTTTAGAATTGTATTTGTTCGATATCATAATCAAACATGATGAAATCTATTTCAGAACACACACTAGGGTAAAACATAATCTCGCCATTAACAGCGCTACACAATCATCGGTCACAAAATGAGAAGTCTTTCAGACTCTCGTAAAAGAGGTAGAGATGGGGGAAAGGCTAAAGGTAGGAGGAAGGGCTAAAGGTAGAGTAAGAGGTAGGGGTAGGGGAAGGGCTAGAGGTAGGGGAAGGGTAAAACAAGATAAAGCCAATGGATAAAAACGGTAACCATCAAAAAATAATTTTGCAAATTATACAATACAATTGATTCTATAACAGTTCTCTGCCATCGATTGTATCTGACATTTGTCCCCACTTCTGTCTTGTCACCACATCTAAAATCATTTTGAGGAAAATTCAAGTCCATGAGAAGTTTCTTGTATTCCGTCAATAGTCCCAAAATTTTATAATTTCTAGAATCACAATCAGTGAATTATTACATTTAAATGAGACATTCATAAAATGTATCATGCCGTGTGTATTCAAACGTAAATAGATGTAATAACACGGTCTCTGCCATATTGCGCTAGTATGGAGGTAAAGGAAAGTACTCGCGAGTAATGCACCACGTGTTTGACTTCCACCACTGATACATTGTAACTTTAAAAAACATATCTTTATAAACAAAATTAACATATTCCCTTTAAATCCGCCTTCCAACAGCTGTGGTCAAAGTACATTTCCCTACTATAGAAATCGTATACTGTACGTCATCACGAGGCTTCGATAGTGGGCGGAGAAACATAGAGGAAGGGGCGTTGTTGAGACGAAGACTGATGTAGTTACGATACAGTGAACAGGACACCTTTCTTTGTTCTCTCCTGCTCAGGGGTCGCTCTAGTTGTGTTCCTCATAATAAAGAAGTCGACATCCACACATTCTCTCTCTGATAAAGGTTAGCTTTTGTTGGGTTTTTTAAGATGTAGGAAATAATGGAACTGTGAAGAGTATCTTGAGCTGTGTGATCAGTTGAAACACATTTGGCGATCAAGTACATGAATTGTCAAAACACCTTTTCGTAATTTTTAACAAAAAAATCACTATAACCTAAATAATTATTATGATAAGTGAGCAAGATGAAGAAAAACTAATTGTTTGTCGGTTCAGGGATTTGGACAAACGCAAAGAAATCATGAGCACAAGACATGTGAGTACATGTGGACATCTATTTGTCACCTGGCACTTAAATAAAGAGTCCCATACACAGGTTGCCGATAGAAACGTTTCTCACCAAGGGAAAATGCTGTGCCACTATTCAACATGATCACGTTGGTCTGTGATCACCTGAAGTTGGCTTTATGTGGTGGTTTAAAAAGGAAGAAGAATTCCTGGCCGTAATGTTTGACAGGTAGAAGTTGATCGTATGCTGTAAATGAGTTATTGTAAATTATCCCGGAATAGACGGCTATGCTTTCCCTCGCACAGATCACAGATCCGTTTAGTTGTGTTGTTGCAACCACAAGTAGTTTCTGATATTCCCAAGTGTACTTACCAAAGATGGCGTTGTGTACTTGGTTCCTGGTGAAGTATTGGCAGGGGAGACAGCCTTCTATCACCACGTACTATTATTTGCATATCAGCATCGCTTGCACTTATTGTAATGGCCTTGGTTCAACATAACGTTTAATCTTCGTATGGTCATCAATATACACCGTCATGTTCCCTACTGCAGAGTGGTTCCTTACCTGTAACAGACCTTTCCAGTCTCTCCAGTCATAGCAATTACATAGATGGGTCTCTCATCGTATGCCATAACTGCCAAGAGGGGCGGTTGGGTAGCCGTGTCGTTAAATCGTTGGCTCGTCACGTCGAAAACCCGGGTTCCATTCCCCACATGGGTACAATGTGTGAAGCCCATTTTCCGGTGTCCCCCGACGTGATATTGTGGAATATTGCTAAACGCGGCGTAAAACCATACTCACTTACTCACTCACTCATGACTGCCAAGAACTATTCACCTTTTGATGTTAAAACAAGACTACAAAGCTGCGTATATTCCTACCATCCTGTACAGACAAAGGTGCTCAAACAGCCAAAAAAGGATAAAACGAAGTAAGATCAAATGAACATGTGCATGACGAGCGAACGCTTCAACCACAAGGCTGCCCCACCGCCCCGGGAAGAAATAGAGAGTGATATGATACATTAGCTTTGAAACTAAGGCGAATCAAAATACGACATAGGAAATATTTAATAACTACATCTGACTGGTCTCTCTCATAATTTTACGTGGCCAAGTCACGACTTGTATTTTCAACTTGAAAGGTTTTGTTTGTTTGTTTGTTTGTTTGTTTGTTGTTTAACGCCGCACTCAGCAATATTCCAGCTATATGACGGCGGTTTTTAAAATAATCGAGTCTGGACCAGTCAATCCAGTTATTAACATCATGAGCATCGATTCACGCAATTGGGATCGAGGACACGCACTAACCAAGCCAGCGAGCCTGACCACGATCCCGTTAGTCGCCTTTTACGACAGTGAGTGAGTGAGTGAGTTGGGTTTTACGCCGCTTTTAACAGTATTCCAGTTATATCACGGCGTGTCAGCTTAATGTGGGAGGAAAGCCCGAAGTGATGCAGGTCTCAGACGATTACCACTTCGGTGAAACCCACGAGCACGGGTATGGTGCTGACAAACCTCGAAACATAATCGGGGCGAACCGGGATTCGAACCCACAATCATAGGTTTCTGGCGTGTCGCGGCGCCTTAGACGACTGGGCCACTGTATTAATCTAGTCTGGACCAAACAATTCAATGACTGACATCATGAGCATCGATCTACGCAAATGGGATGTGATGACATGCAGAAGATCCATTCTACCCCCAATATATTAGATCAGAAAGGCCAACCAAGTGTGACGAAGAATAATAAAGAACAGTGCACAGCTGGCATCTTCACAGCGTGTCAGTTAAAATACACTTGTCTGTAAGTGAATGCGGCCAAGTGAGGTCAACGATGGAAACTGTGTAAAATATCAATACACAGCAAAATATTAAATTTGTTATTGCTGAACAATTGGCAAAATGGCGTTTTCAATATGGCTGCCGGGGTGGCCAATTCTCGTTGGTGATATGTCGCTGGTGATATCTGTGATCTTAACTGCGACTGGTGGAGCAGGTACGCTCACCTTTTCGGGAACGTGTGGCATCATAACTACTCGGCAGTGATTCATAGATACAATCTTGTGGTAAACATGTGATACAAATATGAAAATCACTGAGGCATTGGCGTTGTGAATGAAATTGAAATCGAAACGTCAACAGACTTAACATCAGGAGCGTATGTTTTTGGATAATATTTCTCATAACATGAACCATATCTTTGCGAAGATCTTGAACTTCCGTTGGTGTTAACGTGACGTGCACCATGTTGTATTCCATAATTATTATGGACAAATGTAACATCTATTGATAACAAATAAATATAATTGCATTTAATTCTTGCAATTTTATTTCTAAAGCGTGTATGACGAAACGTTTGGTCGTATTAACTAACAATAGTATAAACTAACATGTTGCTCACAACAAGGAAATAGACGTATAGTACAGCACTTCAAAAGCACAATATAAGAATCCTTAAATGTTTAGGATGCAAAGATCTCCAGGGCTTACAGCTAGTCATTTGCGAAAATATTGTAATACTATTGATTTGAGACTAAAATAAAGTGAAAAAATGTCCAATTGAATGTGGAGGGGAATGTTGGCGTTACCATTATCTCTCAGGATACTTAAGCATTTTGCATGTCTCTCCCTCCTTGTCATTGTGTGCGCGTGTAGTTGCGCCTATAACTATACTTTCTATTATCCATAGGGTAATAGGTAACCGAGTTAATTGGGCAAATATCACTTCACACGCGCCGGTGTATTGTTTACGTCATCCGAAATCATTGGATCACATAAGGTGGTAATGACGTCACAATAGAAATGACGTCATAGCTGAAGAATGTTGCCGTCATTCAATATACATACCCGTATTGTAATCTCTATTTATATGTTCTGTGCTATGGAACATATAATGGGATTCATTACACAGGTGATAACTCGATAAAATTAGCGTGAAATGAAAATTCCAAACAAAACAATATATCATAATCAATGCCTATTACACAGTACATAATGCAAAATGTAAGTTTTGGATATGCATGGGAATCCTTGATGTGAAATAATTTTTAAGAGATAGTAAAACAAACACAAAAAGTATACTACAAATATCCTAACAGTATACATACTAAAACAAAGTGAAAACAAGAACACAAAAGATAGTCAAGCTGATAGAAGAGCTTTAATTCTTGAAGAACACTTGTGCTTCAATATATGAAAGACAAAACATTAACCATCAAAAAGAAGAAAAACAACAGTAAACATGCATGGATAAAACAATAAGTGTGATAAAGCTAAGCTTCAGGCACTATCGATATATGGATTTCTGATTAAATATGAATTACTTCCATGTGTAATATGCCACCAGACAGGTGTTAATGGTGCATGTGTCTACGTTGGATGGCTGACTCGTCTCATCAATGGTCAAGTAAGACAGGGCTTCAGCAGATACAGCCATCAGGCAGGAAGGGCATGCTTGTCCTGAAAATGGGTTGATTCATTGATATATAGTGAGGAAATGCAACACTAAAACGTAAATGTTTAAATATTATAGACAGGATGTATAAATTTAGGGTCACTGCTGATACTCAAGGTATGTCTAACTGCACCTTCCTCATATTTAAGGAGCAGGTAAAAACAACTACAATAAATGTTCCGCTTGTCGATGTAAAAGAAAAGGTGTTAGTCGTTGCGCGCATAAAACTCGGTCTATGGCTGTACGAATCTTTTCCAAATAGTGACGTTTTTATCGAAAAAAGTAACCGTGCTTCACATAAAGTTGTGTAAATGTTATGTTATTGAAAATGATAAACATATTATTTGGTCATTCTTCTGATCAATGTTTTATCATAACAAATCCATACCTAGTGACTGGAGACAAAGCGACAGGCCCGAACAATGGGGTGGTGTAACAACTCAACTAACAATGTCAATATCGGGTGTGACCACCATTTGTGTTCAGTGTGTGTGTGTGTGTGTGTGTGTGTGTGTGTGTGTGTGTGTGTTTTCAGTGTGTGTTCAGTGTGTGTGTGTGTGTGTGTGTGCGTGTGTGTGTGTCTGTGTCTGTGTCTGTGTGTGTGTGTGTGTGTGTTCTTGTTCCAAATGTCAACCAAAGATCGGGCAAACCGAGCTAGCGTTACCGTCTCCAGGAGGAACAGCCGGCCATGGCACTACAGCAAAGTCTTGCATGCTGCCTCAAAAATTCTATTTCAAGACGTGCAACATGTGGGCAGTAATGATCCTGCTGCATCGTGACGTTACGTCCCTGCTTTGGTACAAAGGGTAGAACATGAAACCTGGACCTGTCTCTCAACAGTATACTGTCCCAGTCTCGTCCCCTGAACCTCAGATGATGTCTACACTGAGCTATGTGTTCCCGACGGTGGCGTGGAAATATGGCGTATCGCTGGAGGTCGGTGCCGGATGTGGTTATGGTTATATAACTAATTGATCTCAACCCAGTAATTGTCTGAGCTGTTAATGTGGCAGTTTATGGCAGTTTGTGGCAGTTTGATATCTATTCTGTAGATGTACCAAACGATCGCGCGAATACGGTTGCCGTAACGTCACACATGGACCGCAGGTCCATGGCAAGTCATGAGTGTTGCCCTACTGTAGATAACGTCTTCGAAGAGGTGATATTATGTTTTGATGAACATTGCAGTATTGCAACTTCGTTTTGCGCCATTTCTGTTTGCAGCATACCCAGGCGCGAAGATTGATTTTCAGCAAATCGTGGCATTGCGTAGGCGTTACTTAAACAAAAGATTTTATATGAACACCTGATAGCTTAACAATCATGGTATGATGTTCACTTTCAAACTCCGCGTGAATGAATATCATACTCACACCATCACGCAAACATCCAAATTGTGCGCCGTACATTGACAAATGAAAATTGTTAATCACGATTTTAAAGTCGAGGAGATGCCTTTATGAATATGTATTGAAAGATGCATCATTTAATTTTTAAAATAAATCTGTTTTTATTAAACTTTATATGAAGCATGGTTACGTTTTTCAGTCACTATATATACATGTACATCTGCACCCAATCGCCTCATCCTAGGTCACTTGATAGTTGAGATCAAATCCTCTTCCTGTGACGCTGCCATCACTCCTGAAGTTCACCACGATGTCACCGCTGGTGTAGGGGACTGCAACAGTTGGAGACATCCTTACTGTAGAAGTTAACTAGGCAACCTTCACATTCAAGTACTAATATATTAAATCATCAACATCACATTTTAGGCACGACTGACAATAATGGTCTTTTAAAACTTTTCCGGACTCAGAAGCGAAGTACGTACAGCTAAGTGTTAGGCCTGCTCTGTTGCGACCACAGGTCTTGGAAGAGTTGACTCCGTTCACCTGGAACATCAGAGAGTCGTAGTTGCAGGAAGACTGATACTCGAGGTCGAAGTCTGTGAAGGTGACGTTGAATGTCTGTCCAGCCCCAGGTCTGATAGTCACCTGGCAACGGCCGTTGTTGGTGTAACTGGCGGTAGTTGGGTAGTAGATGCGCCCCGTGGAAGATGTCAGCGTTGTGCCACAGGTACCTAGATAGAAAGCCGTTTTGTAGTTTAACACAATAACAGCTTCAGAGAGAACCTTTATCTATTTTTCATACATCGTAACTTTGTCATGTGAACACTGCAATATTCATAGTTTTTAAACTAAATATCTCACAAGCCCTTCTTCATTTTGAAAAGGTACTTTATTTCTGTCCGAGTCAAGAAATGGTCATAATTACTACAGACAAATGAAATTAATATATTGCTGTACCAGGTGTTGGGCCATTGTTATGCCACATATACTGATTTCGACCCTTTTGCGTCCACACTGTATATATCCTAGGTAAACTGAATATTACGTCTTAAAAGATCAATTCAAACGCACAGAAACCTAACATGTGAAATCAGATTGAGGGAGCGATACACTGAGCAAGTCCTTTCATATCCAATTTCATAAGGAATTAGAATGTAACCCTTCGATTGGAATTGCATTGATCACACAGCTAAAGCATCAAAATATGCTACTTTGGATACAATTATATGTTACCTGGAAAACAGCTTAATACAGTTGACGACGTTACACAGCATTAGCTGGCATGACCCTTCAGATGAAATGATCTAAAACTACTGTTGAAGGTTGAACGATGAGCAGGGTTAATATTGAAGTACATGTACATCACTCACCGTTGTTTGATGCCAGCCCAATGGGGTTTGAAGTTGTGTTTTGCACGTCAATCACTACAATTGAAATGAAAAAAGTTAGATAGTCGTGACTAGTTGTTCTCTGGCGTTGACGTTTTATATCTGTAATAAATATATCTAAAGTACTACTCAACATATACTTCACTGCACAGGTTATATAATACTGGCGTCACAAATAAGGACCTTGTGCAATTTTGGAGACGAATCGTAACATTATTTCAGATTTGTTTATATACTAGGAAGGCTAGATAACAATAAGTCTAATTCATGAACAAGTACGCGCTGAATACAGAAATAGAGAGACACTCAAAGAGAATATTTGTATTACATCGTTTGTCTAGTAGCAACTCAAGAAATTAACTACTAAAAGTGAGACTCATGATTATATTTTCCCCAAAAAACGTCTTACGATTTACTTTTAGCCCAACATTGCCCACGAAGAGAGGTCCAATCATTTTCCTATTTTCCAAAATATCTACAGATATGGCAAACACTACGATCCCGTGAGGACGACTTGGGGACATTTGAGCACATTATTGGGGGTGGGGAGAGCACTGATTTCAACGAGATCTACTAGGTGTGGAAAGCAGGACATTATCGGGGTCGGGAGAGCACTGATTTTAACGGGATTACTGGGGTGTGGGAAGCAGGACATTATCTGGGTGGTGAGCGCACTGATTCCAACGAGATCTACTGGGGTGTGGGAAGCAGGACATCATCGTGGTGGGGGAGCACTGATTTCAATAAGACCTACTGGGGCGTGGGAAGCAGGACATTATCGGGGTTGGGGGAGCACTGATTTCAACGGGATCTACTGGGGTGTGGGAAGCAGGACATTATCGGGGTGGTGAGCGCACTGATTTCAACGAGATCTACTGCTGTGTGGGAAGCAGGACATTATTGGGGTGGGGAGAGCACTGATTTCAACGGGATCTACTGGGGTGTGGGGAGCAGGACAATATCGGGGTGGGGGGAGCACTGATTTCAACGGGATATACTGGGGTGTGGGAAGCAGGACATTATCTGGGGGGGGGGGGGGCACTGATTTCAACGGGATCTACATGGATGTGGAGAGCTCAATGTTTACCGCAGGGGCAAAACGTGAACATTCCAAAACACATACGTGGTATGTTTAATTACGGACCATAATTAATTCAGTGAGCAAAGTTGATAGATGCCATGGCTGGGATGATCCATGCAAAATATCAAAGATCTTATTGTTACAGAAGAATATTTCCATCCCATATATCACATGTACATTCAGTATAAGTAAACTCATTTTTAACAGAATAAATCGTGATCTGTGAATGTTCAACATCCTAATCTGTTGGTAAATTCAAATTTTAAAAAAATGTGAAAAAATAGGTGAGGCTCGCGGGACAGGATAGAATCAAATTCGTTTTGATGTCAAAAGTCAAATGGCTTTAAATCCTGAGAGATGAACAAAAGGACGAGGTGTAGATACACAGAGTTACACAGAGGTGCTTGCAGGATTATTGTACGATTGTGTGTGATGAGAATCAACCATTAATACCTACTGTCACTGATCTGGTAGGAGGCCACGAAGCCACGGCGTGTGACTGATCCGTCAGTGTAGAAGGTGACACGGTACTGGCCGTTCATCGTGTCAGTATCTGGAGACAAACACACACCCCGGATACAACGCGAACACCAATGCATGATGTATATTGAGGTGTTGAGTGGGGCCAGATCATTTCGGTCAATTTAATTTAGGGTTACAATAATGTTGTACTATGCTCTTCTGCACTTAATAACACTGAATTATCTACAATTGAGGTATACTGAATAAAAACGTACCCAATATATTGTGCAAAAGTTGTCTTTTCTGTATCTGTACTTCAGAAATACCTGCCCAATTAACACAATTCTATATCTCGCAAACCTATGCATATGCTGAGGCATGGGAGTATTGATACCTCAAAAACATCATCAAAGTTAAGCTTGAGATTATTTCCCAAGCTGCTTGGAGTACTTACACACGAGATTGGAGATAGTTCCACATTTCTTCACGCCGCTGTTAAACTGGAGGTAGTCATATCTGCAGGAGGCATGACTCTCCAGCTGGAAGGTTGTGAAGGTGAAGGTAATGGTTCTCGGGTAGGATGTCGCTGTGAAGGTGTAGTTGCACCGGGTGTTGTCCAAGTAGTTCCTGCCGTCACCTGGGGCGCTCATGATGCTGCCAGATAATGACGACAAGGTTGCTGTGCATGTCGCTGGAACAGAAAACAATTATATGAAGAAAGAATTAAATATTTACTGATATTTACTTAATACGCACGTGTATGCATGGATTATGAAGCATCATAAGCGATATGAAGCAATGTACTTTAAGAACGAAATAACAGCTGTGAAGATGTGATTTATTTGCCATATAATACAACAACAACAGATATGATCACGTATCGCGTAATATAAATACGTAGAAACAGCTGTGTATTGGCATATAATTAAATAGGCTGTGTATTAATTGTAATTCGTGCAATCTGTTTGATTATATACGTAAAAGATAAGCCTTTAATACTCTTTTTCCTTGTGTTTCATATCGGCAGATTTCTTTTTAAGAAAATAGATATAGACCTATAAGGGTATAAGTGTCACTTTTAGATATCAGTTGACAGAACGTCCTGAGGTATAATTATATCCTGGAATATGCTGTTTTCTGCTCACATTATGATATGGGCATATCAACATAAAATTGTATTCGTCCATACTTTGACAGCTATCACACCTATTACAGATTATAGTATCTTCACTTACTGAAGATGAAAACGGAGCTGTTGTATATTCCAACATGAATAAGGAAGTTACTGATTGGTAAAAAATCACAATAACCACTTCTGATGGAAACAGACGATTTGACGGCCGCATCACCGCGGAGAATAATGTTTATAGAACAGTACTCCTTTCTCAGTCAACGTCGGTAATTATTTTTAAATAATAATAAATACAGTTATTAGTTGCAAAATGCAGACTTGCGTTTCATACAAATATTAAAAGTATGTCTGGCAATACATTTCGGGCAAAACAGACGATAGAAATCGCTTAAAAGAGAGTATTTCAAGTTTTAGGGACCAGAATGAGCTTGAAATTTGGCGCTTTTCTATAGCCGACTGTGACATCATATTTTCTGCGTCACAGTGTGACGTAATGACAGTGACATGTGGTGAAGAACTAAACCTTGCAAGACTTGCTTATTTTCTTTACGGATGCCCACGTCACGCTGGTTCACGAAGTTGCTGCAGGTTCGGTTCCAAATTCTATTAAGCACGCTTAAATTTACAGGTAACATGGCTCTACATTGAAAACATAGTAAATTTATCCCCTAATTTGATATCTGTGTAATAATCAGCAACACTTACACAATATACTGATAAAATCCTTATGTGGCATTAATTTTAATACATACTTTTCAGGATCAAGTAGTGATACGAATACGCACATAAGAATAATATGATAGTAATTTACTGCGCCAATAAAGAAATCCAATATCCTTACAGCTTTGTTTGAAATAGGCAATGGGAAATATCAATATGTCCACAATCCTGCGCTAGCTCAACATAAGAAAATCCTGTTGGAACATTATATTTCCAGCATGGGATTCCTAGTTTATAGTCCAATATTCGTCATACGTTTCTAACATCTGGTAAACAAGCCTGTGGGTAACGGTGGTTTTCCTTTTGTAAGTATTTGAGACAGCTACTATAGTAGCTAAAACATAATTCATATATCTAAAGATCTTTCAGAAACTGTCTTAGAAGAAACTAGGTTACTTACACAATTATATGTTGAACATAAAAGAATCAAATATTTTTCAAAAATGTCAAAGGGAAATGTCATAGGGATATATATATATATATATATATATATATATATATATATATAGTTTAACACACTTATAACAATAGGAAATATTTTTCCAGAAGCATCATCTTTCTCGAGACTGAAAAGTATTTACTGATCGATCATATGGCAAACGAAAGAATACAGTTTTACGCATTATTAGAAAGTTTGACACGGCATTAATATGGTTGGCCATTCACGTCATCAGATTGTGATGACACATCGATGTAGGTCGCTGCAATGAGACAAAACTTAACAGTATCAATATGGTTACAACATATAAAACCGAAATACACACTTTAACATCATTCGAGGGAAGAGAAAAAACTTTCTGACAAATCTGAAATATATTAGCAACCATTTTTAAAAGAGAGAAGTGATGAAACGATGGTTAATCTTTTATTCCAAAACAACGGTTATCAAATATGAAATTGAAATATGGCCCAAACAACTTTTTTAACTGGATCCCCGTGGGAATTCCGTGTTTGAACTGGCCCCTAGCAACCTCTGCTCCAAGAGACGACATAATGGAGAGGGTGGTCAGGCTCTGTGACTTGGTTGATGGCATCTTGCCCCAACAGCGTGGATTGTTGATCATATCAGTTTTTCTGTTCCAGGCTGCCCTCGTGAAGAAAGTTTTGTCACGACGGCCATACTGCGGGCCGATTCTGACTCAATTACACAGACGTCAACGTCAATTGTGGGCACAGCGACACTTATGATAGACTTGGAATTGGAATCAAGTCGTCTTCAGTGATGAATCCCGATTTATCTTCGATTTGCTGATGGTAGGGCGAGGGTGTGGAGGCGCCGTCAGTAACGTTACGCCCAGTGTTGTGTACAGGAAGTTGACAGATTTCGAAGCGGAAGCGGATTTCTGTGGCAGTGCATTGCCACAGAAATCCGCTTCCGCTTCGAAATCCAGGCTTCTTGTCATCCGTGGCAACCTCATCGCTGCTGCTTACCGCGACCAGGTACTGGCATCAGAACTTCTGCCTTTTATGGCAGCACATGGACCCAGTTTGATCCTCCAACACGACAATGCCAGACCCCACACAGCAATTTTGACAAGGAATTTCCTCCAGAAGGCGGGAGTTAACGTCATGGACTGGCCGCCAAGGTCTCCCGACCTCAATCCCATCGAACACGTCTGGGATGCTTTTGGCAGAAGTCTGCACACTCTCCAGAACCAACCACAGAATTTGCAAGATCTTGGCACCATTTTGCAGCAACAATGGCGTCGTCTTCCCAATCATGTGTTCACAATTGCAAGCATCACAAGGTCCATGCGGAGGCGTTGTGTGGCAGTTGTCAACGCACATGGTGGCCATACACGCTACTGAACTTGTGTGCCATCAGATTCTCGTGCTTGGGACTTATGATTTAAACTGTTGATGTTATTACCAAATAATGTAGGTGCTTGGAACAAATTATGGTTACCACCGTTTATTAAAATCCTTCTTTGGACATTAATGATTAAAAATTACCTCCTCTGATACATTTGTCCGTTGTATATCATATATGGGATTACTTTTAAAAATGTGAAGTTTTTAATTTGACTCTTTAATATTCTGACACTATCAGGACAGAAATGAGCTTCTCACGTTGCACCCATGTGGGGAATCGAACCCAGGCCTTCGACATGACGAGGGAAAGCTTGAACCACTAGGCTACCCCAATGCTTTCAGAATATGAGTAATGTCTGTGAGTGATCATTCTGATTGAAACGATCTGTAATCACGGATGATGTTATACATCTTAAAGGTTACAAGAAGACACGATGTAATGTGCTTCATGTCAATGACAGTCCTCCAAAGTGGCAAAGACAAGTGTTTTCTATACACCATTAATGAAATAGTCACCTGGCACGATGTCGTAATGGATGTCGAAGTCCATGTTTGTCTGACTATTGTCACTGGTGAAGGTTATGACAAAAGTACCATCAAAGTTGACTGTAACAAAAGGAGGTATGATAAGTTTTTAAATGACACAATGGAGCTTGAGAAGGATTAGTACACCCCTCTCAGATTTTAACCAGGTCAATTACAACATGGGTATTTGGTATAAATTGTTGGGCAAGTGTCACCAATATACAAAAGATAATAGTTGTGTTTCTGTCAGAAAATCCCTGACAACTCTTAGACAAAATCTGCCCTTCTGACTTTTAGCTACACTTCGTTAATCATAAGAACAGATGTGTTTTAATTGATTGAAAATGAAAAAACCCTGCACTTACAACTTCGAGTCCCATATTGGTATCCACACAGTCTCTCTTCGCCATTCATATCCACATATTCATTACAGACAGATGTGCTGTTGTCAGGGTCCTCCAGGTGGAACTGATTGAGACTAAAGACAATTTTCTGACCCACAACGTCTTCCACCTTTATTGTGAAGACGCAGTGAGTGCCGGTGTAGTAGGGACCCCATAGGATTTCATAGCCATTACCAGGGTAGCTGTTGATGTAGCCCGTAGTGTTGGTCAGCGTTACAATACATGAAACTGAGAAAGTGACATTGTTCATTTGGATGCAACTTATGAACAGGCAGGTTAAGTTTGTATTTTCTGAATATTCTCACGCTTTTTGCGCCTATTATCGGTACCTTCTTCCAAAACAGATTGCAATATCTCGCCCACTTTTGGCCACTTTTGCCCAGCTACATCATGGGGAACAACTCACTACCCACTAAAAATACCGTTATCCAATTACGACATCATCAATATGCGAGCGGTATGTTCGAATGTCCAGAAATGACGTCATGATAGCACAATGTTTATTGTGACGTAAATCAGGCCTCATTCTTTATTGTTCTATGCGATTTATCTCGTAGCATCTGATATTAGTATTTGAAGAAGCATTTCAAGGGCAATAAATCTAGTTAATCTTTAATCACGTATTTGTCATCTGAGATACTTACGGGGCCTTGTGTTGAAGAAGATGCTAAATTCTTCCCTCCTCCCTGTGACTGAATTAACAGAGTGATGACACCGCACAGGTAGCCCAGCCTCATCTGATGAGACTGGAAACATATCAAGTTACGATTTCTGTTTTTTGGTGAGGTAGGGCCTGATGACAAATTACAAATTCCTATATAAGTGTGAGTAAACTGATCAGTTTTGATTTTCAGTACAGCGTTTCAAGGCTGATAAGTGTGCTCCATGTGCTCCACATGTTCGACGACCCGTTGGGATTTCGGGTTATAACAGGTCCATAGCAACATATGCTGGTGTATGATGGTTATAAAGGGCTAGCTAGCTAATGGATCGTGTGGCCAAGCTCAGTGATCTGATTGATTGCGTTTCATCGCGACTCACATGACGACGTGAGTCGTTGCTTATAATATCAATCACTGGATTGTCTAATCCAGGTTCGAGTATTTACAGCCCGCCGTCATGGAATACATTAAACGTTAAACAAACAAACAAACCATATTCTTCAATTTCGTTTAGCTTATCTGCTCTAAATGCATACATTTATAACAATGCGACACCCTATATTTAAAAAATTATATAACAATAGTACAGTATAGTTCTTACAGCTGTACTGGCCATCAATAGCTCCGCAGTACTGTGTGCCGCTGATCTCCACATAGCTGCCAGAACAATTGTTGTTGTTGTCCATGAAGTTGTACGTCATATATAATGGACGCAAGTACAGTGTCATGAAGAAGGGGTAGTAGGGGGGACGAACGATGTATTCACAGTCCTTGCCTTGTGCGAGTGACACAGAGTAAGTATCCAAACTCCCTGACGTTGTGTGATATACTCGATCACATGTGTCTGCAACACATCGATGTTGTCAAAATGTGCGATACGGATGCCAAGGTTATAATGAGTGTTTTCCAGTATTACAAAATCAACAATTAAGTCACAACAAACGGAACGAGTTGTGGCGGTTACACAAATAAATAAATATTTCTGTGTACAGTTGTACATGCATCTTCATTTGGGGGATCAGGTTACAAGTTAAAACAGACTGGAACTGTAACAGAGATTAGCGCTTGTAACCATCTGCACGTCATTTAGCAATTGATTGTCCATTTATTTTATTAGTATGACCAATTCCAAACATTTCTATTCTCTATTTCACCCCCCAGAGACTGAAACTATAGGATGAAGAGAACACTAAGCTCGATGCATATCTCTGGCTTCTATTCCCAGCGTTATTAGTCTATTGTTATGTGTTCAAGACCTTTTCAATCTCAATAAGATCTAAGTTCCTGATGCCGCTAAACAAAGATCTGAGGACATCCCATCACGGGTCACGTCGACGTGAGAACGACCTTTCGAGAACTTTGACCAACCACTGAAACGACCAGCAAGAAGTCGACATCAGCCAATTAGAAAGCAGCGTTCTTTTCCTGACTTGAAAACACATTCCGACTGTCACTTTCATGATCTGGTAAGCGACGCTTTGATTGGTCGGATGAAAAGTCGTTCTGACGTGACCCGTAATGGTCTGATCTGATTTTAATGAGATTGAGGCCTTTGAACACTTTTATGAATTTTAGGAAATCTGACTGGAAAGTAATTGTAAATTGCCTGAAATATCTTGGAGTTTTGTAAATTGCCTTAAAAACAATTTCAGTCAATTTCAAATATTGATGACAATCTTTTCTTAAACAGAGATGATGCTGCTGGCGGAGGAAAAGACGTTACCTCGATATTGTAATATGTCAAATGGATTCACAATTTGCTCATTTGTTTCGTTTGTGTGTTGTTTAATGCCGCACTCAGGAATATTTCATCCATACCTGACGGCGGTCTAAATGATCGAGTCTGGTCAGACAATCGAGTGTTTAACATCATTGGCATCGTTCTACGCTAATGGGATACGATGACATGCATCAACCAAGTCATCTAACCTGACCACTCAATTCTGTAAGTCGCCACTTACGACAAGCATGAATAATGTCCTTGCTGAAGACCAAGTCCCGCCTAGGTTTTTACGGGTTCATTAAAGTGATATACGCCGTGAGTGAACTAATTGCACACGGATTGAATTCAGACATTTCTTTGGTTAGGTTAGCGTACACGTCTAAAATGAACTTGTCTTTGCATAGTGTGTGTTACTTACAGGTTGAGTTGGTGGTCGTGTCCCTGTCGTATCCAAGAGTGTTTCTCGTCTCGTCCCTTGTTCCTGCCAGCCCTTGTAAATTGTGCATCCAAAATGAATATGTTATCTACAGAAGGCATCGATATAGTCTAAAGAGGTAAAAGGACTGCATCAATGAAACAAGTTAACTTCTAATATCCTTAGTGTCACTGACACTGTCCGACTGACACATCTCTTATTATATAAATGCGCACATACCAGGAAAACTTGAATGTTGAGGTAATGTTTGTGAGAGATGGAAAGAGACTTCCGAGCACAGAATTGAAGAATGACATTATATGATAATGAGCTTATCACGCTTGTGTGTTTGGGAAGAGTAAGTATCCTGTATTAGGAAGAAAGGCTATGTATTAAGCTCGCCTAGGCTCGATGAAAACAAAGTTCATTCTTAATATTTATTCAGGATACTAGTATGTACCCTCCCCAAAACACACAAGCGTGATAACCTCTCATGACACGATAGTATCAATTTAATATTGAACAGCGATATAGGTTTATAGGTAGTGTCGGGGGGTCTTGTGGTGGTGGGTGCCATGTCTGAAACGTGCAAGGAAGTATTTTAAATAGAAAAATTAAACATAACGAGTAAAGGAAATATTCATATTGTAGTGTTACATTGTCAGCGGGAGTTTGCCTCTTAAGTGTAACACAAAACTACTGTTACGGATTGTATGACTGATTCAAAATACTTTTTAAAGCAAAGTCTGGAATGGAAGTCACCAATTTGAAACTAGTGCCGTAATGCTTAAGAAAGCTGCTTTCTTAGTGGCTAATGTCAACTTCCTGTAAGTAATTTCATTGGTCGGTCAAAGTTCGCGAAAGGTCTTTCTGACGTGACCTGTAATGGGATGTCCGCAGCAGAAGCGAGAACTTATATCCGATTTTAATGAGATTGAAGTAACCTAGGCATGTGATTAATCTTGTTTTGTTTATTTAAAGCAGTGATTGTTTATTGTTAAGCAAGTTTATCTCTGCAGCCGTTGAAATATGCAGATACGGAGTACGTGGATCATTGTGTCGGACTAACGAGACTGATCAATGAGGGATTTCAGCAATTCGTTGTAAATCAGGTGTGTCGAGTCGGAGTGCGAGACTGTCGGATTAACGGGTCTATATAACACTGATTTAATCGGTCCCCATCATTTGTGTCGGATAAAGCCCATTGTCTGATTAACGAGTGTCAGATTAACAAGACTTGACTGTACTGATACATAAACGTTGTACCTGTTTAAGATGTGGTGCGAAGAAAATATTCTCTGAGCGGAACAGTGCTTCAGAAATAACTTTACGTGTCATTAAATCCAATGTTAATTATTTACATGATACGTTTACAAACAAATATATAAATCATTAATCAGAAGTTTACATAGCTACCTAGTCACTAATTACTAGTAAACGCTGTTTAAACTTTGTGAACCTCCGACCTTGCGAGGTGGAGCCATGCTCATCGGTAATGATGCACGCTGCATTGTAGGATGTGACACATTCATGTAGAACGAGGATGAGTTGTCGTTCCCTGCGCATAACATCTGACGCAAATGCAAACCCAACAGTTTCAGGTGGATCACTGGTGCTTTGGTCTACAACATGAGGTGTCTTACGCAAGGAGGCGCACCGGTGACAAGATTTTGAGACACTGTTTATGGATCTGTCAAGGTCTAAAGCAAAGAAGTATTTATGGCATACTTGCCTGAGTTGGTGTGCAGATGGGTGATCCAGTTGTATGGGAAGGGCAGTCAAGACTCCGTCTAATACTTGTGAACAGAGTGGGTCAGATTTTTGGACAACAAGTAATCCATCCTTGGAGATGGTTGTTGCATTTAGGTATCGTTTGACATCCCTGATGTTTGTTATCTTCTTGGGTGGTCGGTTACCTTGGAGAAGATGAGCATGTGTTCGTCGAAGATCCTGGCACTCCTCTTGCAAGGAACGCCAAGCAGACCTGCTTGTGAAAGGAAGGCGGGTAGTTCCATTCATGATGTCCTCTATAGACAGTTGTTGAACAACAGAGCTTTCTGTGCGCTCAATGAAGGAGCAGATTTGGCAAGAGGGATTGTCACATTCTGGTGCATTTCTGCTTGCAAAATCAGATGGCACATTTGCAGAACCAGCAAGGTGTTGTATCATTGCTTCGTAGCGGCTAACTGTCGATAAGAAGGTAGACACCCGAGGACTAGCAGAGAACTCCCCACGGCATAACTTCTCAAATGCCAAAACACATGGTCTACTGTCGGTAAGGATACATGCTTTGTGTTTTGACTGGATAATGAAAGGACTGAAATGCTTGGTAGCGATACCAATTGAAAGGGCTTCCACTTCACATGATAACCATGCGACCTGTTGTCACAGAAGCTTGGCACTGACGAATCCTGTTAGTCGTGGCGAGTCACTACGTGTTACATATAGTGTTGTTCCAATTCCTGGCTTTCTAACAGCACCATCAGTTACAATCCAGAGTTGGTCATTGGGGTGGGGCAGTACTATGGATTTGTTGGATGCGAGACCAGTCTGTGCTGTTTTGAAGGCATCAAGCAAAGAATCAGACCAAAGAAGCTTTTCACTGGACTGGCGACCGCCCACTTCAGCATCAAGTGGGGCAAGGAGTGTGGAACAACCAGGTATTACACGGGACAAGACCTTGTAAGCTCCTATAAATAACCGTAAGCCATTCACTGTTTCCGGAGGTGAACAAGAAGCCAGAGTTGATATGCAGTGTTGACTTGCTTGAATGGATCCTTGGTGCCATTGCCATCCTAGGATGGTTGTTGTCCTGGGAGCAATAACTGTCTTGTTAGGAGATAATCTGAGATCGTTGTGTTTGAGCACTTCAAGTACGCGTCTCCAATTACAAACTAACTCATCCGGGCTATCAGCACCACAATAAAGGTCGTCGGCAAGCTTAGCAATCACCCCTTCCTCTAAAAGATCCCCTAGTACGCGGCACATGAGCTCCTCCAACGCAGTTTCAGAGCCTGGCATTCCCAATGCAGACCTGGCATATACTCTCACACCATGGAACGGGGTCGCTACACCACAGTATTTCAACAATTCCTTGGACAGAGGAATTTGATGAAAGGCATTGGTTAAATCTGTGGTTCTAATGTTCTTCCACTTGGCAATCTGTCTGAGAGTAGAATCGACATCAGTCATGACGGAAGGTTGTGGCGTACTGTATCGTCCTACATCAGAGAAGGCGGTCACCAATCTGTAACCACCACTGGACTTCTTGATTAGGAAAGAAGGGTTGAGCTATTCTACTTGGATACCTGCATCTTCAGGTCGTACAAATACACCCATCCGCTCAAGTTCATTGAACTTCTGTTGGAGCTCAGAAAGTTTATCTCGTGAGTATTGCGGGACACAACCCTTCCGTTGTGGAGGTTATACAGGTCCCATGTTAACAAATGCTTGAAAGGGCCCTGAAGCACCGTTATAGACATCGATATGTTGATTAAACACATCATCGAATTCCGTAAGTAGTAACTCAAACTGAGATTTGGTATCTTGCGGGAGGATATTGTCTGGGTCCACACAAACAGTGGATGAGAAACCAATGTCCTTAATTTGAGGGGACATAGTTGGTAGCAGATGTGCCGGCTCAACATCATAATCAGGGTCGCAGTCAGGTCTAAAAACTGGGCAAAACTGGCAAAATTGCTTGTTTTCTTGAGCATTTGTGGAGTGTCGGACAGGTTTGGGATCCTGATTTTGCCTGAGACGCTTGAGATAATTCCAACTTCTGGCCAAATGGATGACAAGGTAGAGCGTCCAGGTCTGGTATCTATGCGGGGTTCTATGGCAAATGTGAATTCCGCAGGAGCAAAGCTTTCAGGAACCGGCACCTCAATAAAGTCTCCAGGCCATATGGAAGTAGAAGTGTCTGGGGCTCTGAGTACACAAGCTCGTCTCACAGTATGTTTGTCACCAGTTGTTTCTGTGGAACCGTATGTGTATGTCGAACCATCACCAAGTATGATCTGATGTTTTGCAGGGCGTACTGACACATCGTTGGCCTCCAAAAATGGTATGCCTGCAAGGATTTCTACATCCAGTTTTTCCACCACAAGACCATTAAAATTTTTCCTTATTGTCCTGTGTGAAAAGGATTGATGACATTTATTGGCAACACTCGAAACGAGCACGAAACCCAGGCGAGCCTCCCAAGACAGGCGAGCTACCAAGGGGAGCTAACACTGCTTACATTAATACATGCCAAGCAAACCTGCGTTGGCGCATGACCTCGAGGCGAGGTCAACCTTCAAGCGATGGTTTATATACAACGCCACATAAGTATGTAAAGAGGTGTATTTCGAGTCGAACGGTAGCATATATACTAGCCACATAAAGAAACTGTGCACGGAGAAAATCTATTCTAGATTGAAATACAACACAGCAAGAACAAAATGATGCAGACGCTGTAGCAGCTGAATGATCGGACCATAAGAAAATGTCAACGGGACCTGAACAACATCTGTTACGATGACGTCAGAAGATCAAAATGGAGTAGGGGGTCAAACGACAAAGTCACAAAGTCAATAACAGGTATGACCACCCTGTGCTTGAAATACAGCAGTGCATCGGTGCCGCATGGAGTCCACCAAATGGGCATGGAAGGCCTGGGGAATGGCCTGCCATATCCTCCTCAAATCCAAGTCACGGACGTTATCTGGAGGATGTGGAAGACGACGCAGATGCTCTATTGGGGAGAGATCTGGAGAATTTGCAGGCCATGGCAGTAACATGACATTGTTATGGTGAAGGAAATCCATTGCGACCCTAGCCGTGTGATGACGAGCGTTGTCCTGTTGAAATGTCAATCCCGGGCCATGACGTTGCAGGAAAGGAATGACCACAGGCCTCAGAATCGTATCTCTGTAGCCAACACCGGTGAGATTGACCTGAACAACCACCAAAGGGGTTCGGTGCCGTGCTGTTATCCCACCCCAAATCATCAAAGAGCCACCTCCGAAACGATTCCTCTCCACAATACAGTTGCGTGCAGAACGTTCTCCAAAACGCCGGTAGACAAGTTGGCGACCGTCACTGTGGGAAATGTTGAACCTCGATTCATCTGTAAAGACAACATTTCTCCACCATATTCGAGGTTGGCGAACATGATTTCGACACCATCTTAGACGGTTGACGTCATGAAGGTGTGTCAGGATGGGACGTATGGCAGGGCGTCGTGGTCGAATCCCGTACTGACGTAAACGATTCCTGAAAGTTTTGGGATGGATATGGCGCAGTCCAGGAATTGTCTGGGACGTCGTTACTGCCGTTTGGAACCTGTGTCGGAGATGTGTAAACTCGAATCCATCTGTCCTGTCTTGGCGTCGTTACTCGGGGACGTCCTGAACGTGGGTGGTCGGCAACGTCATTTGTGTTCTGATAACGCCTCACCAATGCCGATATCGTGTTACGATGGCATTAGAAATGTGTTGCCACCTATTGTTGCCTCATTCCCGCTCGGATAATTCCAATGGCTTCATGACGCTGTGCAGCTGTCAATCTTGGCATGATTTGCTTGTGATATGCTTGTGTCTGCGCCTGAGAAGTTTTAAATTTTTGAATGACCACAGATCATGCTCTCCAAAGTTACAGCGAATTTTGAGTTGCACATGCTGTGTACAGCTGCACAGGATGCACGTGCAGTAACACATTGCACGTCCATAGGCCCCCATCAATGACGTCATGTCGCATGGCACGTGCATGAGCGTTTGAATGTCTCCAATAATTGCTGTGTTCAAACCTATATTTCATATGTGGACGATGTGCCCTAAAATCTATATTTTCTCCGTGCACAGTTTCTTTATGTGGCTAGTAGATGAGGATGAAAGTTATACTTACTGCTGTTGAAAATTAAGTTTATAGAACAGTTATGGAAAACACCCCGAGACATGAACCCTCCCATGATTAATGAATGTGTGGCATGTGTTTGGACAGTCGGAAACCAATTCGGACCACGTGGAAGGGACTGATGGGGATTGATTTGAAGCTTTTGTGTTCTGTGATAATTTTGAACATCAGGCTGTGTTATATTTGGAGTTTGGGATTTGTCGTGTGTAATACTTTGCTTACCCGTGAAGATTCCGGGGTAGAATAGGTCTTCAGCAACCCATGCTTGCCGTAAAAGGTGACGATGCTTGTCGTAAAAGGCGACTAATCTTGGATTTTTTTCCTTTTTTCGTTTTGGATAGACCAGGAGCAGTGGCTTTGATCTGTGTCAGCGGTCACATCTGAGCAGGGAACGACATTGTTTTCATTCGTTATTGTCTTGGTGCTAGATTCCTGTCATTTCCGAAAACAAGGCTTCAAAGTCAATATCGCTCAATTAATCAATTTCGTTCACCTCAGTAATTTTACAGAATTCATTGTCTTCACTTGCGTTATAAGTATCGATAGAAAGCCATTCCATATCCAAAGCATTTATTTATGACCACATCAGGCGAAAATACTAAATTAATTATATTGCTGACAAAAGTAAGGATTACAAAGAAAGTAGTGTGAGTAAGTGAGTGCGCGATATCACGGCGGGGGACACAACAAATGGGCTTCACACGTTGTACCCATGTCGGAATCGAACCCGGGTCTTCGGCGTGACGAGCGAACACTTTAACCACTAGGCTACCGGACCGCCCCACAAAGAAATTAGAAAAACTGGTTGATTGTAAACACCGATCGAGAATTCGGGGAAACCCCGGAAAGCAGTTCCGGCAAACGTTCACACGATCAATCTCACAAAAAAATTGTTCACATCGTGTGAACTTTTTTTGTCCGTTCACAGGTGTGTGAACTCCAAATATCAGACCACGTGTGACTGTCCATTCAGCCATTCAGCATGAAAGAAACAGTGTAAACTTTAAAGTAAGAAATTATAATTACGTAAATAATCCTCTTCCTTTAAAGGTAGGAATTGACAATGTGAATATGCTAATCTTTTCAGTATTGTATTGTTGTCTCTTAAGATTTAGTAGTACAACAAATCATCTATGTTTCAATCATTATTATGCATTAGTTTAATTTAGTGTGTCAGATGTTCCTTTGTTTCGGGCAAATGCTATCTATTGAGATGGAAATTAAGTAAATGAATCAAGTTAGATATAATATTTCACTGAATGTTTAAAGATAAAGTATAGTCACACATTTATCCATTTAAGTACACATTGCAGGTTAATAATTTTGGTAACTTTTTATAAGTACTTGCAATATTCTTCAAAATGAACATTGATATAGCTTGTCTGTTTTTACGAAAGCCATTGTCAGTATCCTCAATATAGAAGGAGAGATTCCTAAAACCATTATGAAGTTAAACCAAAAAACAGAAGGTGAAATGAAATGAACAAGGTGAAAAAACGACCGAAGTTGTAAGAATCGGTAATGGTTCTCTATATACCATGACTTTTAGAATTAGGAGATAATGATTTATGCTCACTTGACGACTGTGCCTGGCGTTTCTTGCGGAGTGAAGACATCCTCTGCAACATCACGAAAAACAAATAAATATCAAGCAAACAATTTACTAGAGCACTGTATTTCAACTGCAAGTTTTATAAAGTGATAAATATATTTAAGCAGTCAAGTAATAGTGGCTTATTAATAGAAGTTGAATTAATGAATGTTGGTTGGTTGGTTGGTTTGTTGTTTAACGCCACACGCAGCAATATTCCAGCTATATGCAGCGGTCTGTAAATAATCGAGTCTGGACCAGACAATCTAGTGATTAATATCATGAGCATCGATCCACGCAATTGGGATCGATGACATGCATTAACCAAGTCAACGAGCCTGACCACCCGATCCCGTTAGTCGCCTTTTACAAGCATAGTCACCTTTTACGGCAAGCATGGGTTGCTGAAGACCTATTCTACCCCGGAATCTTCACGGGTCAAGTTTGAATGTAGTGAGGAATTTCAACAGGTGCACATTTAAGCCTCAATATTTTGATGTATGTAGGTATGTACCATCAATTATGAAAGAAGCCTTTCATAAAAAACAAACATCTTGTACTTTACAGTTGGATTACGTTATAAATGACACAAATATACTCTACCGATGTACTTACCAGCCAGTTTTGGTGGCTGTGAGGTTTCGCGTCACACACAAGCACTAGACACAGCCCGACCAGCACTGTGGCCACGCCCATGTAGAAGGTCTTCATCCCCACGGGGGAAAAGGGCATCTTGATGCACGCGTATGTGCACTTGATTGACAGTGGGTACTGAAATGAATATATATACTCAGCAAAAATCCAAAAATCGAGTGGATACAAGAACGACCTTTCTGGTGTTTAAATCGGATACGAAAATATGAAAACATGTAACACAAACGCAACCTCAGCAGAAAAGCACGATCTGATGACAAAAAGTGTCTTTCATGAAGCAATCATGCTATTGATTATGTAAACCAGGGTATAAGTGAGTGAGTGAGTTGGGTTTAACGCCGCTTTTAACAGTATTCCAGTTATATCACGGCGTGTCAGCTTCATGTGGGAGGAAAGCCCGAAGTGAAGCAGGTCTCAGACGATTACCAGTTCGGTGAAACCCACGAGCACGGGTATGGTGCTGACAAACCTAGAAACATAATCGGGGTGAACCGGGATTCGAACCCACAATCATAGGTTTCTAGCGTGTCCAAGGGACGCAACTCTGCACAGCGAATCGCGGCGCCTTAGACGACTGAGCCACCCGTGCCCCCACAAGGGTTCAAGATTAAATAGTCTGAATGATCAGTTTTTTATCTTGCACGAGATGTGCAATCCGACTTTAAAGACTTTAAGAAACTAAATCTGTTAAACAACCTCTCAGTATCCCGTATATGATCGTCTTATGCTCCCAATAGGTATCTGGATGATTGACATGGACGATTGTACCACTCTTCAGAAAGAACATTGCCGAGTTCCTGTAGAGTTCCTGGGAGAACAGAGCGTTGTCAGAGGGCGATCTCCAGCTCGTTCCACATGCTTTCGACAGGGTTGAGGTCTGTTGACCGGGTTGGCCACTCCATGCGGACAATGGTCTCCTGCTCAAAAGCAGGCATCAATGACCCTGGCAGGATGAGGTGTGTTATCGTCCATGAGGATGAAGTCCGGTCCAGAAACATGCGGTCCAAGGTACACATCCAGACTGTCATCCCTGTGGCGCACACCTGTCATCGTGTTGGAGATCGGCACTTCCACCTCTGTTTACTGCATACCCTTCACGACCTGAGTCCATCCACAAGGAGACGATTGCTGACTGACTGAGTAGAAATGTTAACGCCACTGGCGTTCCGCTGGTCATTTCTACGTATGGTGGCAGTCATGAAGTGATGGTGTCTTGCTGCAATCAGGAGAAACTTGTCTATCCCGCTGTGTGGTGGGACGCTGTCGACCACCTTCATGTAGCTGGAAACGCCTGGTATCGATTGTTTGCCCTGCTGATCATACTTTGACTGACACCAAAGACGTTTGGAACGTGACTTCCAGTTTCAAGCATGCCTATGCACCTGCCGAATTCTTCAGTCGTACGAGGTCTTGGACGCTGAGGGGACATAAGTGCTTTCAGTTGTTGCAATCTTCAGAAGCAAATGTTGTTGTTAATCTCTGATAATAAGGTTCAACGATTCTGTCACAGTACATCCAGGTCTTCAGGAACCCATGCTTGCCGTAAAGGCGACTATGCTTGTCGCAAGAGACTACCAACGGTGTGCGTGGATCGATGCTCACGATGTCAATCACTGGACTGTATGGTTGAGACGTCATTATTTACAGACCGCCGCCATGTAGCTGGAATATTGTTGAGTGCGGCATTAAACAAAAAACAAAAAGACAAAACAAAACATAGTTCCCATGACTGCATACATGACCGTTCATTATGGAACTGTGGTCGAACGGGGGTTACACATCATTATAATAAGATTTAATGCAAAGTTTTGTTTTTTACCAAATCTGAAACAATTTCGGTTTTTGCAACAGATAAAAGACTCCTTTATGTGTTCAAATGGTTTAATTTGCCATACTGACTTCAGAAATAAAACATGAATATGCCAAAATGTCAATTTACAAATCAATAGCGTGTGTGTCCACCTCTGGTTGCGATGCAAGCAACACATCTTCGTCTCATGGAATAGACCAGGCGTCGCACAAAGTCGTGTGGGATATCTGTCCATATCTGCTGGAGCATGATTCGAAGTTCCTGGAGTGTCTATTGAACACGTGGTTGACGTCGAAGGCGCTGATCCATCTCATCCCACGTGTGCTCGATTGGTGAGAGATCAGGGGAACGAGCCGGCCAGGGGATGACATTAACGTTGTTTTGTTGAAGAGAATCCTGAACAAGTCGAGCAATATGAGGCCGGGCGTTGTCATGTTGAAAGGAAATGAATGGGCCATGACGACGCAAAAACGGTAGAACAACAGGGCCGATGATCTCGTCTCGTCTATTGAGATTTCCCTCTACCACTATCAAACGGGTCTTCTGTCTTACTGTTATCCCACCCCATACCATAACGCTGCTGCCCCAAAACCTATCTTCTTCCATGACACAATGATTGACTTAACGTTCACCTCGACGTCGGTACACTCGAATCCGTCAATCGCTGTGGCTGAGGTGAGTGAATAGAGAGTCAGTGAATAGAACTTGTCCCCAGTGCATGGCCGGCCAGCGAAGACGCTGTCTACACCACTGTAGACGTGCTGGGCGGTGGTTTCCTGTCAAAATGGGACGTTTTTCGGGTCTTCTGGCGACAATCTCTGCACATCTGAGGCGACGATTTACGGTTTGTGAGGAAATTCGTCGAAGGTTATGGATGCTTCTTGCAGTCACTGTTGCTGGCTCGAATCGATTTCGTAGGTATGTTGTTCAAATCCAGTTGTCTTTTCGATTATTGGTTACGTGTGGCCTGCCACTCCGAGGATGGTCTCTGACTGCATTCGTCTGTTGCCAACGTTGCCATAAACACCAAATGGTGTTTCTGTGGACATTAAATTGTCTTGCAACATCACGTTGACTCGACCCGTGGCATTTCGTAATGTTGAATAATTGCGTAATTGTGTTGTATTTTCTGAATGGTTGTTGTCAGCACGATGCTAAACAATGCATATGGAATCCCGTTAATGCACATGCTTTTATACCCATTCTTGGGTAGTGAAATGCATGGGGCTTGCATAAAAGTCAAATTTTGCATGGTATGCATGCTTTTCTGTAGCAGTTGCGTTTTTGTGACTTGATTCCATACATGTACTACAAAATGAATTACTGTAACATAACTACTTCTCCATTGCTGGTATTCGTGACCATGTTGTATATGTGGTCGGTTGTAATCAGGAGATAAATCTACTGTGTTTTGTAATTTGATGTAGTTCTACTGTAGATTTAGATACCTCCTGTTAGCGCGAGGTTTCAAATGTACAAATATGAGGTCTTATCTGCAGTGAGACTACATCAAAGTAGTTTTTGTGTGTTTATGTCCATTCTCCCAAAGGCCAATTTCATCGCAAACTGTTGCATAATTGCACTGCTTAGCCTCAACCGAGTCATTTCTTGGAAATGCCCACGATAAGTCATTTCTTGGAGGGGGCGGTCGGGTAGCCTAGTGTTAAAAGCGTTCGCTCGTCACGCTGAAGGCCCGGGTTCGATTCCCGACATGGGTGCAATGTGTGAAGCTCATTTCTGGTGTCCCCTGCCGTGATGTTGCTGGAATATTGCTAAAAGCGGCGTAAAACCATACTCACTCACTCATTTCTTGGACATCACCAAGACAACTCCCATTCAGGGCTCACAGGGCGTAAGAAATGGCAAATGTTGGATAAATATTATTTTGAAGTTGCCCTCATTAGCTGTTGGTTTGAAATATTTCCCCAACAGTAATGCATAATATGACCAAATACTCTCTCCACCCGGAACTTGGCTGAACTTGAGTCTTTGTGGTCCATGGCGGCCCAACTAGATGTTCACTGTGACAATGCTATCAATAAATTACGTGGACCCATGTGACAATCCCAATCACTAGTTCAACATTAACCCGATGCTATTCTGATAATGAATGCATACAATTTTTTCGGCCGCCATTATTATATGCATCGATGCGACGTCAGGGAGATATGTTCATCCGCACGTTGTTTTTGTGTGTGAAATGACTTAATTTATAAAATATATTAACATTAAAGAGGATACCTCTTATTAACCAATCAGAATCAAGAATTCTTCAATGTCATGGTAGAATTAATTAATTTAAACATACAGTATTATGTAATAGTATTCTTCTGGAAAATTTCATACCATTTATTCATTTGGTTTTTTTGGTAAAATATATTGAGTGCAACAGATCAACAATTGTGTTAGAACCAATATAAACCTAATCGACCTTAACGATATCGATATCGTAGATATATATGATGAATGTGCACTGCTTACTTTTAATGTATACAAATATTTTCTCTTATTTTTAATGTTACCCACAATGAACTGCCACTGTGATGTGCATACGGTATTTATTCTAGGTTCTTAGTCAGTATGCGACCGGAAGAATATGAGATTAGACTGAAGTCAAAGAATCGTCAGATATTTGTGACGAAATATGGAAGTAGTGAGGGAGTGAGTGAGTATGGTTTTACGCCGCTTTTAGCAATATTCCAGAAATGTCACGGCGGGGGACACCAGAAATGGGCTTCACACATTGTACCCGTGTCGGGAATCGAACCCGGGCCTTCGGCGTGAAGAGCAAACGCTTTAACCTCTAGGCTACCCGACCGCCCTAAATATGCAAGTAACATCTCCAAGGAGAGCATATATTAAATGTTTGCTGAATCCTCCAATTGACCGATTCCAATGTATGGAATCCTAGGAAGCGCTGTCGCCTTATAACAGGTGATGTGAGGTGAAGGGGGTTTAACGTCGCGTCCAAGATTATTGCACTAGCGACGTGTGTGTGTTTGTGTGGCTGCTTGTACTAGTCCGACTGATGCTGATTTATATGCCCAAAACGCGTCCGGGTATCCGGTGGCAGATACCTTGCCGGATACCAGATCTGTGGTATCCGGCATGGACACCTCACCGGAAAGTATGTCACCTGGAATCCGGGTATCCGGCACCGGATACCTCACCGGATACCTCAATCTGGGTGTCCAGGGATCCGGCACCGGATACCTCATTGAGTTTCCAAAAACATGTCACAATTTGGGGGGTGCATTTTGTTCAATTAAGTGTGAAACACCTAAAAATATATTGGAAACTAACCATG